AACCAACCCCTTTAATTAAAACAAAAGTGGGAGATACTTGGGGGATGAGCAATACTCGGAGGGGACTGCTTGGCTCAAAATGTTCCAAGTGAGAAGGATCTTGAAAGTGTTGTAGATCACAGCTGAATATGAGTCAACAACATAATGTAGCTGTGGAAAGCATCCCAAATCACAGAAATTGCTACTCCCCTTCTTCTCAGCATGGTTAGCCTTTATCACGAGCATTGCATCCAGTTCTGGGCACTCCAGTTTAAGAAAGATGCAAGCAAACTGGGCGGGATTTGAAGGAGGGCAGCAAAGATGATCAAGGGCCTGGAAACAAACCAGAGACACTGGAACAATCGCACATGTTTACTCCTGAGAAGAGAAGACTGAAAGGAGATATTCTAGCGCTCTTCGGGTACTTGAAAGGTTGTCACAGAGAGGAGATCTCTTCTTGGTCCTTCCAGAGTGCAGGACATGGAATATTCCGCTCAAGTTGCAGGAAGCCAGATTCTGGCTGAACTTCAGGAAACAATGGAACCAATCAGCAATGAAGATTTGGGGCTGTCCCACACTGGAGCATCTCAGATGCAGCCAGAAATGTGTCTGCTTTACCTGGAGCCCTGCATTGGCTTCTACTATGTGTCCATGAAAACTTGCACACCTAGAGGAGGAAACGGGTTCCTGGGGCTGTTTTAACCTGTTTACCTCTAGAGATTTTCCCGGAGGGTGGTTGGTGTGTGTGTGTGTGTGTGAAAAGGAGAGACTTGTTTATGTGGCCTCGAAAGTTATTCATGCTGATAATGGTGTCTTTTCTTGCATTGTTTTTCTAATAATTGCATCATTTTTAAAAATTGCAGTTTACTGTCTTGATCCACAAAACAAGTAAGAACCAGTCTGACGTAATTCTGTTACTGCACAAACATGGATATCCTTGTAACAATTGTATGTTCTGAATATGCGTTGTGCTTTCCTCTTAAGAATATCTTGGAACATATTGCAATGTAGCTGAACTCTTCTTTTTATCAGAGGTTTGCTTTTAGCTGTGTGCACATTGTGATTTTTTTAAGCAGACACTTCACATTTTTCACTTGCCGTAATAATCTTATGGAAACCAAAGCACTGATATGCAATTAAGCACTTAGAACTTGGTCCTTTCATTGTTCCAGAAATAATTCTGATGACAGCCTTCACCATATAGCAGAAAATCAGGTTCTACATTCAGGTGGCTTATTTGGTTCCCTCCTAGTGAAGCAAATAATCTCTTTCCAGGCAGTTCTTTCATCACCTGTCCAGCTGTTTTGATTGGTGTGTGATCCTTCAGAAGCAAAGCTTTTTTACCTTCCATGAGTTGGTCAAGCAGCTTGTCTTGTAATATGCTTGATCCTGTGCTGTCTTCATCTTAACTGGTGTCTGAAAACTTTTGGAGTGTTGAACCTCATTGACAGGCAGCTTCTGATTCATTTTATTTTGCCATTGCAGATAAGAAGGCAAGGTGGAATACAGTTACTGGTGGATTTGTTGGATCATCGGATGACAGAGGTCCACCGTAGTGCCTGTGGAGCTCTGAGGAACTTGGTGTACGGGAAGGCCAACGATGACAACAAAATTGCTCTGAAAAACTGTGGGGGTATCCCAGCTTTAGTACGATTGCTCCGCAAGGCTACAGATCTGGAAATCAGAGAACTAGTCACAGGTTTGACTGTCTTTCCATTATTTCATGTCAAAGATTAACCAGGAATTTGCTCAATATCCAGACTTTCCAAACTGGGCTAACAAAACACAATATTTCAATAAGTTCATGCATGCAGAACTTTTATGTGAGCATGTGGCCAAGATTCTTTGTATGCATATTTGGACTTGTGTAAAAAGCAACAACAACCATGAGTGAGCACAATCCTGTGTTCACAAGCACACATACCACTTATCTATATGTTTTACTGAGAAGCCAGGTTGGTGTCCTGTGTATTTTGATTTGCGCGTGTACTCAGAAGGTTACTGCTACTGTATCAATTTCTTGATTGGACTGAATTTTGGAGAGGGTGTGAATTAAGTTCCCCAGTTGATTTTTTAAGAATTCCTATTTTAAGCTATTCATTAAATATTCAGAACATTCCTTTTTTAATGACTCAAACCTTCTGGATCACTCCCACTTATTTTTTAAAAGACATACTTCTCAGGAAAATCAGATTTTCCTCACTGCAGGCTGTGTGATTCAGCTCTAGTTAAGGATTTGATGGATGGATGGATAGATAGACTGTAGATTAGATAGATGCAAATCCAGATATAGATAGTGTGACTGTATATCTATATCCATGTTTTAATCATCTCACTTTTTCCACTCTAACCTAATAGTCATGCTTAATTAGATTGTCAGAGGATTGCTGTGCTACGTGACATTTAAAAGTTTGGACCGATAAAGCAAATGCCTGCTATTCCATTTCAACATATACCTTCAGTGCCCGATTATAGTTTCTGTCCTTTTTTTCTCCAGGGAGCAGTCTGGAAGCTTATTATGATCAAATGAGGAGCAAATCAGTGGTCCTCATCTAATCAGCCAGCAACCTCATAGAAATCTCTGCTTATAGAAGAGTTAGACAGTTATATAGAGCAGATATCTGTTAATCAAAATACTTGCACTTTTAAAAAAAAAATACTGTCCTTCTTGTCCCTTGATAGGTTGTATACTTAGAAACATAGCGAGTCAGAAGGGGTCTGCTGGGCCATCTAGTCTGACCTCCGGCACTAGCCGGCTCCGCTCACGACATGCCCACCATGTGCATGTCCAGCCTATCCTTGAACACCCGCACCAATGGGGCCTCAACAACCTCTTGTGGAAGCCCATTCCACACCCTCGGGGTCCTGGCTGTCAGGAAGTGCTTCCTGGCATCCAAATGGAGGCTTGGCTCCCTGAGCTTTGCTCCGTTGGAGCACGTCCTGCCTTCCTTTGCAGGGGAGAACAGGTCTCTACCCATCTCCATGTGATATCCCCTCACATACCTGTATGTCGCAAACATATCCCCTCTGAGACTCCTCTTCTCCAGGCTGAAGAGACCAGTTCCTTCAGTCTCACCTCATATCCCATCCCCTGCAAACCAGCCACCAACCTTGTGGCCCTGCGCTGCACTGACTCTAACCTGGCTATATCCTTCCTGTAATGAGGGGCCCAAAACTGAGCACAATACTCCAGTTGCGGGAGCACCAGAATTGTATAGAGTGGTAGTAATACCTTTCTTGATCTTGAAACACACTGAGTTAGTATGGAACACATACCAACTCCTAGGATGTTCAGTTGGTTCCTTTTAAATCGTATTATGTTTCCAGTGGATTTTTTCTTTTAACAGAACAAGATTGAATATACTGTAGTTAGTGGCTGACACATGAACAATGTCCTTGTGGTGTGAATTATTTGTTGGTGCACAATAGAGGGATAAAGCACACACAGTGCCAGTTTGTGAGCCATGAATTCCGGGTTCTCATGCGTAAGGCAGCATGTTGCTAAACCACACATAGGACCATAGGTACACTTACCTGTTGTTTGGAAAAGTGTTCCAGGGACCCCTACAAATCCCTGTAAGGTGTGTGTGCACACATATGCATGTGTGTGTAACATTTTGGGACTGGCCTTTCTATGGCTTCTCACTTTCCTTCTCTCCGTTCCTCTGGACACTTACCTTTCCCCCCTCCCTTTTTTTTTCTGGTTACTTGCCTCCTCTTCCCCAAAATTCTCACTTTTCTTTCCCTCTTTCTCTGGATCCGCACTTCCCTTGCCCCTCTCCTCTGAATTTTTCTTCTCTCTCTTTTCTCCAAATTCTCCCTTCTCTGCCCCTTTCCTCTCTAGATTCTCCTTCAGCTTTCCTTCTCCGGTCAAGCCATTTTTTTCAGCAGGAAGCCCCTTTCCCCATTCACCACTGATATTAATAAAGGTGGGAGAATTGCTCACAGGGGAGGGCTTAATGGACACCCTGTTGCTGACATCTAGACAAAAAACCGCAGAGTGATGAGTCAGAGTTCCAGGTTTCCACATAAACTAGCCAAAACACAGGCAGAAGCTCTGTACCTTGATTAGTCAGCAGTGTCTTATTCCCGATAACTAAGACTTCTAAAAAAAATTCAAAATTATCATAACATTTGAACTGGGCCAAAGGTTCTTGGCCTTTCTGCCTCAGATACAGTGTAGGATTATTATTTTTTTAATAAAGAAAAAATGTTCTAGTGTAAGTGACATACCTATGGTCCAAGCCAACTTCTTCCAATTTAGTGTACACTTCTGCTTTGTTGGACAACATCTCCCATCATCCCCAGCCAACATGACCTGCTGGTTCATGATGGGAGGAGTTTTATATTTATTATTACTCTATTTTTATTCTGCCCTTTTCCTGCAAGGAACCCAAGGCAGCTTATAGCTCGCCCTCCCAGAGAGCCTTTCTGGCTAACGGGGTGGGATATACTTCTAATTAATTAATTAATTAATAATCCTCCTTTCTATTTCATCTTCCCAACAACCCTGTGAAGTATGTTAGACTGAGAGTCTATAACTGGCCCAGAGTCACCCAATGGGCTCGATGGCTGAACAGGCTTGAACCCAACTCCCAGTCCAGCAGTCTAACCTGTGCACCACTCTGGCTCAGACCGATCGTCCGCCAAGTCTGGAAGCTTGTTGAGGTGCTGGTGATGTCCTACGAGTGGGGGAGAACTCTGCTTGGGGACCTTTTTCGTTGTGACCTGATACGAAGACCTGGAGCACATCCCACCTGTTTGGCCTGCAGAAAGCCCAGGGCACCATAGTGAGCTCAGCCTGGGAAGTGTCACATGGACAGATCATTTGGTTAGGGGACTGTTGTCTGGGGGTGCCTTGATGCATCCACATTTTGCAGTTGTGCTTGCCCCCTTGATTCAACCTTCAGCTGGTGCCAGGAAATACATTTTCCCTCCAGGTGCTGAAGTTGGGGGCAAAAGTACACTGAACAGGAGCACCAGACACCCAAACGTGTGGTCACTAATTTATTTATTTAATATATCTGGGGGGCCTTTCATGGCCCTCCCAAAGTGGCTTTCAACCATAAAATCCAGTAGCATAAAAATGGATACGGTAGCTAAACGGGGGCAGGGGGGAGGGAATCGTACAAATGCACACCATCAATAAACCATCTGGCTTAGATAACCAACATAACAGTCTGGTGAAATATATCCCAGAGAAGACCAAACTAAATGAGTGAGTCTTCAGAGCCTTCCTAAGGGCTGCAGTGATGAGCTTTAAGAGGGTCCCGTGAAGGCAGCCCACCACAGAAGTGCCAGGCCATGGCAGAAAAGGTCCCAGTGTACTTGTCCACTTAACAGTCCTCCAAGGTGGGCAAGTGAGAAGAGCATCTCGTGCTGGTGTTAAAGTGTAGGCAGGCTGACGGGGTGAAGGTGGTCCTTGACCCACTTCAACCTGCCCATGCATAAACTTGAGGCAGTTTGGTGGCTTTCATCCACATTAGACAATGTCACAATAAAAAGCAGAAGGGATGGTCTTGTGGAAAGAATTGGTAGGGACGCATGATGAAAGGAAATGTGCAAAAGAAGAAAATGTACAAAGGTTGAATTGTACTGAAATGTAATCTTGCTGAAAGATGATTGAGAACACTTATGATTTCACCGTTTCTATCTCCTGGTTAAAGCTTTGACTGAATCTTCACTTTTATTTTTATACTATAGTCTCCTTTTTTCACTGGGTAGCACTTTTGCATAGGAACATTGTGTGAATAGGGCTTTTCACAGAATCCCCAGACTAAGAAGTAATTTCTAGAATGACCTCTTTGAGAGCTACCTTGTCCCAGAAAACAGGAACTGGGAAACTGCTGACTCTCTTCATGCAGCAATCCAGGTGTCCGTTTCCTAGATTCTCAAATATATAATTTCTTACAGTGGAGTGGGTTAGCTCTTGTTTTCAGTAATGATCGCTCTCTCTTTTAGAACAGCAAATTCCATCCCTAAGATTTTCCTTAGCTTGAAAAATGCATTTGCAGCAAGTATGTACTTCTGCATTAATGCAGAACTTTTTTCAGATGCTTATTCTTTTAAAAAAAGAAGTAACAGTATTATGTTCTATTTTCAAGGACCATCAGGATTCTCTGATTCAAAACAGTCTGAGAATTGCAGTATGGATTCCATGTATTGGCAGGTCTATACCTCAGAACCAAACAATGCAGTCCCTTTAAAGTAGATCCCTGCAACTAATATGAGGGAAATTAATTTATTTCACTCTTGATACTCTTCCTTGGAAATCTTGAAGCTGTCCTTCCTCTAAGCCTTGAATGGATTTGCATCTGCTGACTTTTAACAACATGGTGCGCTTGAGGATGTTGGACTGGGGACACAGAAATGAATGTTCAAGTTCGTGCTCAGCCAAGAAACCTAGCATCAGTCACTTCCCATGGTTCTTAGGGGGATAATATGGGCAACTTGGCACTCCTTGAATGAAAGATGGGGAATTAATAACTAAATGTGCTTTCAGATTATTCTCTGTACTCAATTCCAATGTGGCACTTAAAGATTTTTTAGTACTTGGGCTTTAGGGATTTCTTTCAAATGAGATTTTACATTAAAATACTACATGACTAATGAGTATCATGCAAAATACACTGAACCCAGTTTGGAGATTACCATTTTCCTTTCTGGCCCCTAAAATTCTCATTTTCTCTGAATTTACAT